GCAAAAACGAGAGGTGTAGAATGGCAGGGTATTTTTTAAAAATAATTTTTTTAAAATTGTTTTTGATATGCAACGAATCATTCCATTTCAATCATGCGTCGACTTGGGTACATATTTCAATTATTTAAACATTAATAATGATATTCTTCTTAGCAAATCTAACAATACATCAATGTTCCCATATATATTCCCATATACATAATAATTGATATTATTATTAATTGTGATCCCATAATAACTTTGCTTAAATTTCTCTAATTGCTCTAGAAATACATCAAATCTTTTTTAGGTTGTTCTATTCTCTATGCATTGATAAAACATATACCATACAATGTAATATTCAGTTTCTTCTTTTTCTTTAATTTCTAATGTCAATCTATTCATTTCTGCACATTCAAATATTTTTTCCCTCTATCAGTGTTTTATCATTCTTCCAGTTTGGGACAAATACAATCCTAGACGCTGTTAAGACATGTATAATTAAGTAAACCTTTTCTTTACTATAACCTTCTGGTACCATTCCTAATAGGAATATTTCAGGTTTCAAATCTATATGTTGTTTAATCATTTTTTTTCCAACCGTAGGGTTTTTGTTTTTTAAAAGGAGGATTTTGGTTCTATGGGCAGTTTTTCAGATTACGTATACGAGCCCAACATCCCACCTTTTGCAAATTAAAGAATATAAAGCAGAGACGGCGATACAGATATTCTCTAGATCAGGGGTCACCAACCTTGAGTGGACCTCAGAGACCCCCACATTCATAATTTTAAATCCCGCGGACCACTAATACGATCCGCCTAATGACGGGTTGGGTGGGTGTGGCTAGGTGGTCATGTGACTGGGTGGGCATGGCCAACTCGATGTCACTCACGTCAAGGGACGCCTTGCCGGCCTCTCCTCGCCCCTCCCCTCCCGGCCTGCCCTCCCGGGCTCCTTCAGGCCCCAACAGGAAGCAGTGGTTAATGCTAAGCAGCCCCCCATGAGAAAGAGTTGGCCAAACAGCTGGCTCCGTTCAAAATTGGATCTGACCGAGAAGGAGGTTCAGCAGAAGCACCTCACTGAGGCAGGGGTGGGCTTCACAAAATTTAGCAACCGGTTTTCTGCTGGGTTGCTGGGTGGGCGTGGCCATGGTGGGCATGGTCTAGTCAGTTTCCTGCACCATGGAGGGGGGGCATTTTCTCCCTGGGCTCCTTTGGGAAGCTCCAACACTGCCGCTAGGAGGGGAGATAGAGAGATAGAGAGAGATCCGATCTAACCTTGGAGGGCTGGCGGTGATATTCTCATTCTCTCTCTCTCTCTCTCTCTCTCTCTCTCTCTCTCTCTCTCTCTCTCTCTCTCTCTCTCTCTCTCTCACACACACACACACACACACACACACATCCCTCACATACTTCAAACCCCCCCCCCCCCAAGGCAGCCACATTCCTTCACTAACCTGCTTTTCAGCTCCATTCTCAGGAGGGGAGAGAGAGAGAGAGAGACAGATAGACACGGTATTCTGCAATCCCAAATAAAGAACGATCCATCGGTAGGAAAGCGGGGTGGGGAATTTTCCTGCAGACTTTTTTTGGGGGGGATTTTCCCAGTCTCTGCTGCTTTTGTTTTTGGAAGAAGAAGTCTTCTTGCAGCGAAAGTCTTTCTTTCTCTCTCCCAAACTCCGCCAGAAATGAGTCTTTGGGACCCTGCAAGGCCTCCTGCTCTAAGAGGTTGTGCCGGCGCGGAAAAGTCTCACAAAGACTCATTTCTGGCGGAGTTTGGGGGAGAGAAAGAAAGACTTTTGCTGCTTCTGCTGCTTTCCTTGCATGAAACCAAAGAGTCTCTCTCTCTCTCTCTCTCTCTCTCTCTCTCTCTCTCTCTC